TCCTGGTCTTTAAATCACTTAATGGTCTGGCCCCATAATATATATTACCTGACATACTGTACTTATATCAAGGTCCTCAGGTCACAGGACGGCCTTCTTCTCCAAATTTAGAGAGTTCAATCAAAATGTTGCTGTAAATTAATTTTCATAAATTTTGAGTTTCGTGCCTACACAATAGTTTTTTCAGTATTTACTCAATACATATTCGTTTAGTTTATCTTTTAATTTGTTGTGTGTGTGTGTGAATGCATGCTGTTTGCCTCTACATGTTATAATTGATCTACGATCTACCATTTTATCTGTTTTTTGTGGATAACTTGATGTTTGCAATCCACTACACATCCACAGATCGAGAGGCGTCAGCAACCTGTAAAGGCAGTGAATGGATTTGTTGAGGAAGATCCATCAAGCTGTCCCTGCCTCATGAGCTGCACCATCTTCCTTAGTTACACCTCAAACCTCATCAGCTGTGGCGTCAGGGAAAGTATTCGCTACCTTGCAGAGCACAAAATGGTACAACCCTCCTCAAATACACAAGATAATACAAATATATGAAAGTTTATGCTATGTAAATTGCATGCATGGTAGAGGCAACGCTTGAATATAACAAATGAATATAATTCCTCTCTTTTGCCACTTTTGGTTGTATTGTTAGAACTGTAATTGTTAAACTGCACTTATTAAAACAACCTCACAGGAAACATTTGAATCAGAGGAATGGACAGTAGAATCAGAATAAAAATACAGTACATACAATACAATATTACTTTTGTTGCTTAATATAATAGATTTCTGTCTCTGTGTAGGTGGATGTCTTAGTGACGACAGCTGGAGGTATAGAGGAGGATCTGATCAAGTGTTTGGGCCCGGTGTACATTGGAGACTTTACAATGTCCGGAAAGGATCTGTATAAAAAAGGCCTTAACAGGTCAGAGAGTATTTCAGATTAATGTATTAGAGTATAACACACTAATGTTAAATGGCTCACTTACACTGCCAGCATTATTGAGGAGTATTAATTTGTCTTGCGTTTCCCTTTGGCTGCAGGACTGGAAACCTTCTGATGCTTGAAGAAAACTACGTTAAATTTGATGACTGGATGATGCCGATCTTAAAGCAGATGCTGGTGGAGCAGAACACTCAGGTGTGGGGACTGTGTTTTGAACATCTCTGTTTTCCTACAATCTCGTTGATACAGTGTAAAAATTCAAACCATTTAACCACATTATGAAGGAGGAATTTCTAATGCTTTTCTTTTCATTGTGGCAGTTGAGGTGTCCTGGTCCCTGTTTTTGCCTTCAGCTCACACTATAGTTCTATTTTCTGAGATGTTTTTTCACTCAGGGCGTTCGCTGGACACCATCTAAGATGATCCATCGACTGGGCAAGGAGATCAACAACCCTGAATCTGTTTGCTACTGGGCCTACAAGGTGAGTGATCTGGTGATCTGGGAACAGCTGCAACTGTTGAAATTATATCTTATTTTATAAAGTTACTAAGAAGTGATGAGGTGTCTGTTTCAGAATAACATCCCGGTGTTCAGCCCTGCCCTGACTGACGGCGCTATCGGAGACATGTTCTACCTTTTCTCAGCTGAGAACCCTGGCTTGATATTGGACATAATTGAAGGTGAAAGATTCTTCATCTCTGCTTACTTCGTTTGTCTTCAGGATGTTAGTTTGTCTTACACAATGCATTTGATTTCAGATGTATCAAAGGTGAACAACATTGCAGTGGCTGCCAACAGCACAGGGATGATCATCCTGGGAGGAGGTCTGGCAAAACACCACATATGCAATGCCAATACATGGGTATGTATTTTGCATTTTGCACACACGGACACACTTGTTTTCATTAGTGTATAGTGAGCCATGTTTCTACTAGTAGCCCAGAACTGACAAATCAAACACTGGCTCCAGGCGGGGCCTTTCACATTTTTGCAAGTTTCATCCACACCGTAGTTTTTTCTACATGAAACTAAACCCTACACACTGGTCCTTTAACACACTGCTGTGTCTTCTTCCAGAGGGATGGAGCTGACTATGCGGTGTACGTGAACACGGCTCAGGAGTTTGATGGCTGTGACTCAGGGGCCAGACCTGATGAGGCCGTGTCCTGGGGCAAGATCACAACAAATGCTAAACCTGTGAAGGTATCTTTTATACTAATATTGGATATTACATTAAAGTCAAGGTAATGTTCCATTTACTAGTCCAATGTTACTAGTCCTAAAAACTAGATCAAGCTGTTTAAGAGGGATTGATGTTGTTCTCTGAGGTTTTAATACACACATTGTGTCTTTCCAGGTGTTTGGAGATGCTACCATAATCTTCCCCTTATTAGTGGCAGAAACCTTCGCAGTTAATACTAAGGCGACTACTGGCAAGAAAAATGAATGAAATCAAGGCCTCCTCCAATCTTTTATTATTATTACTATGTTTCATTATCTCTCTCTCTCTCTCTCTCTCTCTCTCTCTCTCTTTGCTTCAGACTTTTTCAGAAATGTTCAATGGGCCGTTCTCATGGTTCTCATCTTCTGACTTATTACTTATAAGAGAAGATTTTAGTTAGAGAGGCAGGTTCATCTGAATGCCATGGCCTGCTCAGTTGTTCAGTCCTGTATGTCTGGTTGCACTAGTCTTGCAAATAACCACCAATTCAGACTGCTCTGGTCCTTCCAGTCTACCTTTCCACACAGGAATAATTTCTCTTGACCGGATCTGGTTTCAAAATAAAGCTGTGTGAGTGGAAGAGTCATCATATGGGCTCCCTCTCATTAACTGGTTGTGGAGTTTGGGGGTGGTTACAATGTCCCAATGTTATATGTATAATGTGCTATAACTCTTATGAATTCTAAAATCTTGAATCAAATTTTGTTTTGAAAAAGGTGGCAGTTTTTACTGGAATATGCATGTTGGAAGGTGCTTATTCACATGTTCAAATAATATTTACTGAAAAAAACAACAAAACCTGAACTATAGATGTCAATAAAAACAATTGAATTGATGGATTTGGACTTTTTCTGTTTGGGAGTAGATGCATTAAAACAGCAAATGTATAAATACAGGCATCCTTAACCGAATGTTTTAATTTATAGTACAAAAGTCTTAACAAGAGGTGAACAAAAGGGTCAAGATAGGGCAGAGATTGTTTAGAACAGTGGATCCCAATCTGAGGTTAGGGACCCCCATTAGGGGTCGCCAAAGCTTCATGGGGAAGCATTTCGCTCATTTCTGTGAAGAAAACTAAATGGAATTGTTATTTTTGAAGTTTAGATTATTATTTAAGATCTAATCTGTGAATACCTGAACAAAAGCTATATTCACAGAGCCTTTATTCTCTGATACGCAGCCTCGTCCTGCATTGGAAAACAGTAGTAAAAGAGTAAATAGTACAATAAGAATCAGAATCAGAATCAGAATCCCAGGGGAGAAATTATTTTTTGCTACAGGAACTCCAGGTATACAAACAAAACATAATATTATACAAGCAACATCTATTAAGAACAAATATAAAATATATATATATATATATTATTAAACTATATATAAAAGATCAAATTTACAGTTTTAAAATTTAACAATGAGAACAAACTTGAATTTGTCTAAAAGAAGGCCTATTAATTTTGTGTAATTGACTATTAATATATATATACATATATATATATATATATATATATAAGACAGAGAACTGTTATAAACAAGTTCCTAAAAAATATCAGGGAAAACTCATCTATGATTCAATATATCAATGAGTCCCACCCCCCTGCACGGTGGAACCTGACAGGAACTGAGGAGCAGCTTCAGAATCAGAAATACTTTAATAATTCCCAGAGGGGAAATTATTTGTGACAGACTGCTTCACGCCCTCGATTGTGTGAAGGAAAGATACAGAAGGTCTTCCTTCCCTTGCTGCTGTTAGGCTCCACAACGAACCACTCTTAATATGTGCAAATAGTATTACACCCACAAGGCTGTAAAAACTTCAGTTTGACCACCAGTCTGGGTGCAATGCTTATTTCTATTTCATTATTTATCTTTTGATAAGTACTCTTTGTGCTCTTGTTATTTTTTATCTGCCCTTTTTCTTGTTATGCTATGCAAACTGCAATTTCCCCATTGTGGGGACAAATAAAGGTTCTTATTCTTATCTTTAACAGGAAATTAATTGTGTTCAAAATTAAAATTCATCACCATCAAATCATTGTTTACACCAGATCTTCGTTGCAGTTATTGTGTCACTGTTTGTGTATCATTGTACAGCTGAATCTTGTTTGTCTGTTCATTATTATACATTAAATATAAAATACAAAGCATCCACACAATAAGACTCAAGGGACGCCGTTTGATGACGACATCTTTACTCGGTCGGAAGTGGTGTTTCAAGCTAAACTTCGCCTGAGAGAACTTGACAAATGAAATAGAGGGGGTGTGCAGAAATAGGAGGAGGCAGTCAAGTTGTGGATTCAAGTGTCTTCAGTCTTCAGTTTCACCCACAGTTTGGTGGTCCGGTTTGGTTCAGTGTCGACTGGACGGTGACACTGTAGCTAAACAGGTGCTACGGAGCTAACGTTTGGTTAAGTTTAGTCTGTTTCTTCTGTAACTGAGTTTTATATGTAATTATTTAATAGACATATGTTGCAAGATAATAGTTAGGCTCACCCAAAACAGGTTAACAGCTGTATCCAGTGACATCTGTATCATTCTAACATGAACGTTATTAATGTAACGCTGAGCTAAGATTAACTGCCTAATAGTTGAGCTTTTATGGAACACACCATACAGCCGACAAGCATGGAGATAGATGTAGTTTAAGTGATGTTTGTTTACAGTAACTTTACATGAGTTATTGGTCTTTTGCTTAAGAGGAGAAGGAGGGGATGTCTGAGGTCAGGGGTAGCTGTAATTAACACGGGGGCAGGGACATCCAGGAGACCAGGACGGACCACCTCTGGACCCTGTGAACCACCACCTGGGGGATGCTGTTGGAGGCTTGCCAGGCTGTGACCTGCAGGGGTAAGACTGTCTGGGTCCCCCACTGAATCTCTGGGCCTCTGTGGCATTTCACCAGGATGTGAGATTAAAGGGACACTTCCACCCATTTTGCATTAAAGCTTTGTGTCGTTAGAAACAACCCAGTCATTATTTTTGAATGGTCGTGCACCGTTCCCTCATTTTTCCCCTGAGGACGGGACAAATACGGATTTCAGTGTTGCACTTTCTGCTTCCAATTGAGTAAAAAATCGGGTCATTTTGCATCACTGGAATCAGGAAGTCTCATATCTGTAGAGGAGGTGAGACTACAAACACTCTTTTTCTCGGGTCAAATAGCGCACCCAAATTCAGAATTTATGTTACATTTCGACCTACATATATAACCCACTTTCAGTAAAGATTAATGTTTCCACGGGTGAAATGCTTCTTTAATAATCCGTCATATCCCTTCCAGTGTACCTGCAGGTTGCCCACCCTCTGCTGATGTCAGCCCCTCACCTTCCGCTGAGACCACCGGCCTGCTGTCTTTACCATGGGAGATGGTTACCCACATTGCCTCGCACCTTCCTGCTCAGTGTGTTATCACTGTGCTGCCAAAGGTTAGTTTTTTTTTTTTTTTTTAAAGATCTTTTGGCCAGTCGCTTCCATAACATAGCTTTTAATACACTTTCACTGTATACTCCTGAAACAGGGTGTTAATTCAAAGGCATTGTGTGTATCTTTGAGAGGAAACATGTCCAACGCACTTCCTTCATTCATTCCTTTAAAAGCCAATTTCTAAAGCATTTTATATCCTACTTTGTTTCAATTTATGTTTATGAGCAACAAGCAAAAAAGCCTTTCTTGGCACATTACAAGCATCTGTAGATCAGGGAAATAATGTGAAGCCATTGGCAGGAATGTGTCCCATTTCGTACATGTGTGCTTGCATGTCCGTACTTGTGGCCCAGGCAAACAAACAGCGCTCTGTAGCAATGCTAGAGGGCCAGAAACTCCACAGGGAACCTTGAAAACTTTATCAGTCTTGCAAATATCGGAAATGTTCTTGAATCCCTCACACACTCCTCCTTTTTAGGTCTGTCATGCGTTGGGTAATGTGGGTAAGGACAGCACCGCCTGGCAGCTCCGGGCACGCAGACTAATAGGATCCCGAGCTGGCTTTCCAGTCGGGCCGAGGGAGGACTTTGACTGGGCTTCTGCTTGCCTGGAGATGGAGCAGCTGATAACCTGCTGGACGGGCCAAGGGCATCTCGTGGCCAGACAGACCCAAGAGGACGAGGAGGAAAGGGAACAAGTGGGGCGGCAGCAAAGGGCGGGGCAGGATAGGGAACCAGTTGCAGAAGGACAGGAAGATGGTAGAGGGGATGAGGAAGAAGGGGTGGGAGTGGTTGCGCAGGAGGTTGCGTACGGTGTTGACGAAGGAATGGAGGTGGCAATGGAAGGTGAGGATGGTGAAATGCAGCCCATCGTAGCCGTGGACCGACTGGAAAGACTGAGAGAGGCGTTGGAAGAGAGACTGGAGGACGATGCAGCAGCACTAATGGGAGAAGAACGGGACCACAGGATGGCTTTTGATGCTGATGAAGGGGCGCTGGCAGACCCCAGGAATCTGGGTAATGGCAGACAGGGAGAGATCGAGCAACATCAAACCCCCAGAAGTCCAAGCCCACCCCCAGCACTGGAGTGCATCAGCCTACCTTCAGGCCACATCGCCCAGGTCAACTCAGTCCTCCTCGTGGGGGGAGAGGGGGCCGTTTGTGCCACAGGTTCCAGAGACTGGAATGTAAAGCTGTGGGATCTCCAGGCAGGCACTGGTGGCACCCTGCTGCACACACTGGGAGGTCAGGGTGACTTCAGCACCCACCGGGGCTGGGTCTGGTGCCTGGCATCTCAGGGACCTCTGCTGGCCTCAGGGGGCTTCGACAGCACAGTGAGGTTGTGGGACCTACAGGCAGGTGGTGCAGAGAGGGGCCTGATACGGGCCGGGGCTGCCGTCCTCTGCCTCTCCTGTCAGACAGATGTATTGCTGGCTGGTACATTTGACAAGAGGATCAGCATGTATGACACCAGAGGTGAGGGGGCTTTCAGTTGACACGTGACATAAAATCCTTGTTACACACTTAGACAAACCACTTGGCTTCTGAGGTTGATTATATCCTCTTTTTCTCCACAGCTGCTGAACCCCTGGTGAAAAGCCTCCGTCTTCATGGTAACGCTGTAATGTGCCTCGCTGCCGATGACAAGTACATCATCTCTGGGAGTAAAGACTGCACTGTGGCCGTCTATGACCGCAGGGCAGGCAAGGGCTTAAAGAGACTCCGGGTAGAGGCAAACACACACACAAAGTTTCTTACGCTTGCTTTTGCATTCAAAAGCACAGATACCGAGACTAACTCCAAACAACCCCTTCATTTCTAGCTGAGCTCTTACCTGCTGTCCATGAGCTACAGTGGCTGTGAGGTATGGGCAGGAGACAACAGTGGCATGCTTCACTCCTTTTCCATGCAGGCTGGGACCTTAAAACCCCTGTCCCAGTTTGATGTGGGACACACAGCTCTAGTCACTGGCATCCACAGGTCCCCCGGAAGCCTCTACACCTGCTCATCTGATCGTACTGTCAAGGTAGGATGAGGCAGATTCCTTGTTACTTTGCTTATTTAACTAACTCTGCTACTAAATGGTTTAAGTTCCTTAAGTTGAAATGTCCTGTCTGTATTGCAGGTACATATCCCCTGTTCACCTCCAAGGACATTATGCACACTGCATCACCAAGCTGGAGTCAATGGGGTTAGTAGCGCATTAAGAGAATTAAAGTGTCAAATTGTTTACGTTTAAAGATTATGTTATAACTCCTCCTGTCTCCGTCTTTAACTCTCAGCTGAGTGTGGAGGCGGGAGTCCTTGCTGTCGCCTCAGGGGATGTCTGCATGGAAGTCTGGAGGCCCAGAAAATGAAAGAGCAAGGCCTGCAAACTATGTGGTAAAACTTGAAAGCAGATGGGGACAAATCCCCTGAGGACTATCAACGCTATACTGATCTTTCAGTATACACACAACATTAAAACATTTGATTTTCTGGTTTGATCCTGTTAAGAGATTTTTTTTTTTTACAAACAAAAACATATATATGAACACATGAAATGTGTTTATTGCTAAATGTTTGTTCCATACACTTAATTGCCATTTTGTGCCAGTACTCAAAGCTTTCAAAGACACTGCGTTGGAAAAAGTGAATCTCGCTTTCAGTTGTTTATTCAACAGTGTGAAACAAGCTGATGGTATTTACATGCTTAAAAATAGACTGAATCCACTACAGTAACTGACATTGTACCAAAAGCTTTAGTTACTTCTCATGTACAGTGAAATATTTGAATTATTCAAGCCCTCTGTGACACACTGATTGTATTTGTAAATCTATTTATTTGAACACATTCAACAGTGCTAAACAATATGATCCTTTTTGTCAATATGTCTGTATATCCATTCTGTGTGTGTATGTGTGTGTGCTAGTTTTAACAATGTGTAACCATTTAATTGTTCGGATAAATCTAACTATAAATCATTTGCACAATACTTGACAGATGCATCCATTTAAACGCTTTGAAAGACTATTTAAGCACTTGAAAATCTAATGTCTGAAGTATTGGCTGGAGTTGTTCAATCGTAATGAAATGTTAACAAGAATGAAACATCGATTGCCATACAGTAAAGAATCAGTCGTCGACAGAAGTTGTCCATGTGGCAGCCTGTCGTGTGTCGGTCATCTCGACTCAGGACTGTCAAAGCAGCACACAGGTCTTCTTATCTTTGAAAGGATTGGACGAGGCAGCGATGCCGGTGAGCAGAGGGTCACTGCGCCTGTGGTCCTGGCAGTACCGGACCAAGTCTGCGGCTGTCAGTGAGATCTGCTGGGATGAAGGTGGATAGGATGGCATGTCACAGGAATTAAGACATTGTAATACTGAAATAAAAAGTAAACACTGGACATTAGATGTTAATAATAGAGACATGAAGCATGTGAGTACATATGAAAAATAAAACAATGCTGTTCTTAAAATGAATAAACCAAAACTACCTGATCTCAAGTGATGCGGTTTTGAATATATGATGATGTGATGGCATATGTGATTATTCAGATTCTCACATACCTTGATTCTCTCCATGTTTGCCTCCAACCGAAGTTGATCCACCAGTTTTTGTGCCTGAACAGCACTGTTGCTGCTGCACACCATTCCTGACATAACCTTCAGTCTGATTCAGAAAAAAAAGCCTACTATCAGGTCTATTTTACTCTTCCACTCCAAAAAGAGAAATTGTGTGTTTTACCTGATCGTACGAGACCATTCAGGTTGTGCAGGAGAGTCTGGTCAGAGAAGCTCCTCACTTTCCTTCCTCACCTGTATCCCCCTTTTTATTCACCGTTGGGGGCAGTTCAAAGGCTCTGTGATATAAAAGGTCATACAACACAGTGTTGGAAATGTCACAAACATCACACATCACTTCACAGTCACCACTGATGAAAAGATTATTGACTGGCATTATTCTGTGCTTCAGGTATACCTCCTGCCTTTCAGCTACACAATGTGTGTTTAATTTTTTTACAAAAGATATGGTCAAATGTTTATGCATTAATAGAAAGATGGGACATTGGAAGTATTTATTAATTTGATTTATTGTGTTTTAGTTAGGTTGTCAAAATGTGTAAGGCATATATTTTTATTTTTATTAAATCAGTTCAGACAAGGGACCGCAAAAGGGGAAGTGACACTACGGTGAAGACACAAGAATGTGCTAATTATTATTGTGCTTGACTATTTCCATTGTATATCTTTTAATCTGGAAACCACTTTGTGCTTAAGCTTGAAAAGTGCTTTATAAATAATTCAATTTAAATGATCATTATCATTATTCTGGATAGAAATAGTCATTTTTACTCCTACATTTAGCTTTGAACAGCTCACTGTTCAAATGCAACAATAATATAAAGCTGTGATAGAAATCAAGTTAATAATTTTACATTATATATATGTGTGTGGTAAGATACAATTTAACCCATATAATTAATTATAATTATACTAAGTTTTTACATAAATTCAAAAGCAAAATATTGAATAAATACATGTATTATTATGATTCAATTGAGTACTGCATCCACCTGATTAACCTACCCTTATTTGAATGTTTAATCATTTAAAACAGCTGAATAAGGTAAAAATATGTAAATGAAACATTTTGATAATAGTATAATAACATAAAGTTTGACACAGTGTGAACAAACACCTATGAAGTCCACACACACTCACTGTAATTAAACACTGAGATTCAGGGATTTCGGGGTTTGTCCCTTCGCGCTTTCCGTAGTAAGAGCTCGCCTCGTCTTCCGCAGGCGACCCATGTGTTGTTTACAGAGATACTAATTTACTGTGGTGGGAATTGATGACCGCTGAACCCTCTTCATCAGCTGACTAACTCCTCTCCAGCAGTAGGTTTGTTCTCTGATGTTTAATCCTGTTTGAAGCGGGTCGATGGAAACATACCGCTCACTGTTAGCTGTCTGCTAGCAGACATCAGACCACACTGACTGTGTGTGCTTCATTCAGGTGATCCTGTCCGATCAATGACACCTAGAAAACAGGGCTTAAACGTTTGTGTTTGGTTTCTTTTTATACGTTTCAAATTGTGTTGTTGTTGTTGTTGTTGTTGTTGTTAGCTTTAGCTGTGCAAGACAGCCAGAAAGTTTCCAGCTATTATTATTGAATCATACAGCTGGAGTCGTCTGGGTCAGGTAGGAGGCCATCAAAGGCCAGTGTTATAGTTATATATAAGTCATTTAAAGACAGTAAATAACCTGCAGGAAGGAACAAAGTAAATCCTGTTTTAAATGAAAACAGAGAGCTAAAGTGAAGGAGTCTGATCAATGTTCCTAAACCACTGGAAGACAGTGTTTGTAAACAACAACAAAAAAGCTTATTATCCATGAACATTCATTATAAAGATCAGCTCTACATGTGAGAGAAGAGGAGCAGAATTGTTTGTTTACAGGCACAGAGAAATGTGCCTCTTGTGGTACAAATTGACATTTTGGGACACTTTTGCCTCCCAGCACACACACTCAGGGTGTGCTGGCATACACACACAGACACACACAAACAAAAGCAAAAAAGGCATTCACAGTGCATCTGCAAGCTCGTAGCAGCTTTTAGCTTTCTAAACCAGCAGTACAACATCTGCAGCAGTGCAAAACACCCTGTTTTACTGAGGCAAAATCACAACCCATTACAGAGCAAGATAATCTGGCCAATCCGGATGCTATTTTCCAAGCTACTGTAGCTGCCGTTGAGGCTTTTGTCATATGGAAGTGTGCATGGTTTCATCTGGGTTGGAAAAACTATAGACGCCTGTTCGTCATCTAGGGGGCTTCTGTGTGTGACTATTGTAGTTAACTTTAACAGAATCACTGGTGGATTGGGGGGGGGGATTCAAAGGTCTGGACCCAGGACAACGTTTTCCAGCTGTTTACACATCAGACACATGTAGCTCAGCAGCTATGAATCTCAGTTGTGTTTTTTTTGCACGTGTCAGTAAGAGCGCTGGGCACCACAGTCTCCCGACCACACCCCTAACACCTTCTCCGTGTTTTTGCAGAAAAGATGGCAGACGACGCCCCTTCTGTAGCCATGGAGGCTGTCCTTAAGCCCAGTTGCGACCTCCCAGAGGACATGCCAAAGATCAAAGGCTACGACTTCAACCAGGGGGTAGATCTCCAGGCAGTGCTGAAGTCCTACATCACCACGGGCTTCCAGGCCAGCAGGTTGGGCTTAGCCATCCAGGAGATCAACCAAATGGTACGAGGGATGGCTGTGTTGCACGGAAATCTCAGAAATGGATATTTTAAAACTTGGGCATATAAAACAAAAACTATCTGCATGGCTAAAGGGAGGTGATTTGGGGCGAACTGACCCAAATAATACAGATTTAGTAGCTTTTTATCAGTCTGTCTATGATCATTTGTTAAGTTGACCATTATCATCTGATGACTCCTCACCCACAGATAGAGAAGCGTCTTGAGCCGGTGGAGGTGGACGAAGAAAATGAATGTAAAGAGTCCGGTGAAGCCTCCCGCAAGTTGGGCTGCACCATCTTCCTGGGTTACACCTCCAATTTAATTAGCTCCGGGGTCAGAGAGAGCATCCGCTACCTGGCAGAGCACAAAATGGTATTTATACACTCGTTACAGTTATCCAGGTCGTAGTTGAATCACAGGTAACGTCTAAAATGATCAACCAAATTTGACAGGGAGTTTATCAGAATCTGTCCTGTTACTGTGTGTCAGGTGGATGTGATTGTAACCACAGCTGGAGGCATAGAAGAGGATTTAATCAAGTGTCTGGCTCACACGTACTTGGGAGACTTCAACCTGCCTGGCAAGGAGCTCCGCCAGAGGGGCATCAACAGGTTGGCAACTACTGATGTAATACACCTCATAAAGGTGGCATTTTACAGAAACAGTTTGAGTCTTTGGGATGCACACATATATATATATATATGTATGTATGTATGTAT